AGGAAAGCCAATGCTCCTGAGGGACAGCAGTAGCAGGCCAAGGGCGAGGAATTGCTTAAAAATCCATGAACCAAGGAACAGGTCAAGGACACAAATTATAACCACTGGGGTCCAAAAAAAACAGGAAACTAAACATGCTGGTCGGACCGCCTTGCAAAAACAAAGCGGTCTGTCTCGTGCACGGGAGAGCACAAATGCACCCCGTGCAAAGGAAGGCTTCCAGGAACCCAGCGAACCAGTGGGATCCAGGAAGCCAACCAACAACAAAGTGCAGGCAAAAGCCGCCGTCTTAGGAAGCACAAGCTCCAGTTAAGCTTTAGGTAGCCTTCAGCTCCTGATTTCTGCATGCATGCCACGGTTTAGGGTTTAGGGTTTAAGGGTTAAGGGTTTAGGGTTTAGGGTTTAGGATTTAGGGAGCACTAAGCTCCTGTTAAGCTTTAGGTAGCCTTGAGCTCCTGATTCCTGCATGCATGCATGTGGCAATAGTTGAATGTTTTTCCCCGCAGGTTTTGGAAGCTCGAACTTTGCAGGCGCCATGGACTTCCTGCCNNGGCCAGCAGCGGCTAAAGGTGCTGCCAACCGTGACTGCAGCTGGCCTTGAGACGGCCCTCGAAAGAGGGATAACACAAATAGGCCCATCTGCTAGTTTAGGGTTTCTGTGCAGAGACCTGGAAGACTGCACCTGGAAGACGGCTCTGGCCAAGCACATCCCACAGATCGTGTTCCTCGCTCCGATCTTGAACCGCCTCTTCGAGATCTGCAGCAATGGCTTGATACCCCATGCCATGCTCCAGACGGCATTAGTCGGCCTCTTCAAGAGGAAGATCCTGGAACTACAACCTCCACAGGTTAAGATGCCAGGCCGGGGGGGTGTTTAGGTAGCCTAAGGCTCCTCAGACTTTCAAGGAGGGGGGGTGTTTAGCTAGCCTAAGGCTCCTCGGACTTTCAAGGCCCCTAAACCCTAAACCCCTACACCCATGCACCCCCTGCAGGTTGGGAAGGGTCCTCGCTTCAGTACTTCAACTTGAAGCTACGAATGCTGGCCAGCAAGATCCGGGATCTTAGCTTCGGCAGAGAGAAGATCCCCAAGAAGATCGACAAGGATGCATGGCTTAAGCTGCAGGCTCTTTGCTTGCAGCTCAACCCGAAGTTCAAAGTGGATGACTTAATGGTGCAGGAGACAAAGCCCCAGCAGAAGCTAGAGCTACGAGAAGCGGCCCCGGAGTCGACCTACACCGGAGCTTTGGTTTGCACCCAAGACACAGCAGGTGTGCCTGAGGCTGCCTGCTCAGGCCCGGCATCAAGCAGAGACACTAGCCCGGGAGCCAGTGCAGCTGCAATGCAGGGTGCAGAGGGTTTCGTTGCTTTGGCAACGACACGAGCCCTTCGAGATGCTTGGGATTGCAGCCCGGCACGGCCCCTCACGAAGCAGCAGAAAGCTGTTGCAGTGGCCGAGGCTGGGCAAAAGGGACCCGTGCTCAAGCGGCCGGCAGCTGCACCACTCAAACGACCAGCTGCTGCACAAGCTAAGAAGAAGCAGAAGCCCGTGGACCACCCTGCCCCTGTGGACAAAAGCGAGCAAGAGCTCAAAGAGGAGATGCTGACTGAAGTCATCTCCTTCTTGGTCTTCAAGGAAACGGACACTCGGAACCACTACACGTCCAGAGCTTACGGCAGGGGCAAGCGGATTGCCCAGGGCCACGGCTTCAGCGAAGAGGTGGCCACAGAGTGGGCTCGGGCAGCCCACTCGAAAGCCAGCGAACTCTGGGATGAGAGGTGATGGATGCAAGGTGATCGCCCTGAGAGTGAGGAAAAAGGAGTGCTGCACCTGGTATTATAGGCAGGAGCCTTAGGAAGCACAATGATCCTTAAGCCATGTTTAGAGTATACATCGCTGCTGTTCCTCTTTGGAAGCAGTGTGCAAAAA